CAATGAAAAATCCATTCACGCTGACCTACCTGAAGGAAGAACTGACACACAAGATTATACGTCGACAGATAATTCCATAATTACCACCAGTAGCGAAGATTTTGTGAATTATAGCACAACTTCTGTAGACCATTCAGAATCAACAAGTGATCCAACAACCAGTAAAGATCCTAGAACTGAAAAATCCATTCATGCAGATTTATCCGAAGGAAGAACTGACACACAAGTCTATACGTCTACAGATAATTCCATATTTACGACCAGTAGCGAAGATTTTGAGAATTGTATCACTAATTCTGTAGATTATTCAAAATCAAAAAGTGATCAAACAACCAGCAAAGATCCTAGAAATGAAAAATCCATTCACGCTGATCTACCTGAAGGAAGAACTGACACACAAGATTATACGTCGACAGATAATTCCATAATTACGACCAGTAGCGAAGATTTTGAGAATTATATCACAAATTCTGTAGATTATTCAAAATCACAAAATGATCAAACAACCAGCAAAGATCCTAGAAATGAAAAATCCATTCACGCTGACCTACCTGAAGGAAGAACTGACACACAAGATTATACGTCGACAGATAATTCCATAATTACCACCAGTAGCGAAGATTTTGTGAATTATAGCACAACTTCTGTAGATTATTCAGAATCTACAAGTGATCAAACAACCAGCAAAGATCCTAGAACTGAAAAGTATATCCACGCAGATTTATCCGAAGGAAGAACTGACACACAAGACTATACGTCGACAGATCATTCCATAATTACGAACAGTAGCGAAGATTTTGTGAATTATAGCACAGCTTCTGTAGACTACTCAGAATCAACAAGTGATCCAACAACCAGCAAATATCCTAGAACTGAAAAATCCATGCACGCAGATATATCCGAAGGAAGAACTGACATACAAGATTATACGTCGACAGATAATTCCAAAAATACCACCACTAGCGAAGATTTTGTGAATTATAGCACAACTTCTGTAGATTATTCAGAATCAACAGGTGATCAAACAACCAGTAAAGATCCTAGAACTGAAAAGTCTATCCACGCAGATTTATCCGAAGGAAGCACTGACACACAAGTCTATACGTCTACAGATAATCCCATAATTACGACCAGTAGCGAAGATTTTGAGAATTATATCACAAATTCTGTAGATTATTCAAAATCAAAAAGTGATCAAACAACCAGCAAAGATCCTAGAAATGAAAAATCCCTTCACGCTGACCTACCTGAAGGAAGAACTGACACACAAAATTATACGTCGACAGATAATTCTATAATTACCACCATTAGCGAAGATTTTGTGAATTATAGCACAACTTCTGTAGATGAATCAGAATCAACAAGTGATCAAACAACCAGTAAAGATCCTAAAACTGAAAAGTCCATCCACGCAGATATATCCGAAGGAAGAACTGACACACAAGTCTATACGTCGACAGATAGTTCCATAATTATGACCAGTGGCGAAGATTTTGTGAATTATAGCACAGCTTCTGTAGACTATTCAGAATCAACAAGTGATCCAACAACCAGTAAAGATCCTAGAATTGAAAAATCCATTCATGCAGATTTATCCGAAGGAAGAACTGACACACAAGTCTATACGTCGACAGATCATTCCATAATTACGAACAGTAGCGAAGATTTTGTGAATTATAGCACAGCCTCTGTAGACTACTCAGAATCAACAAGTGATCCAAAAACCAGCAAATATCCTAGAACTGAAAAATCCATCCACGCAGATATATCCGAAGGAAGAACTGACATACAAGATTATACGTCGACAGATAATTCCATAAATACCACCACTAGCGAAGATTTTGTGAATTATAGCACAGCTTCTGTAGACTATTCAGAATCAACAAGTGATCAAACAACCAGTAAAGATCCTAGAACTGAAAAGTCCATCCACGCAGATTTATCCGAAGGAAGCACTGACACACAAGTCTATACGTCTACAGATAATTCCATAATTACGACCAGTAGCGAAGATTTTGAGAATTATATCACAAATTCTGTAGATTATTCAAAATCAAAAAGTGATCAAACAACCAGCAAAGATCCTAGAAATGAAAAATCCCTTCACGCTGACCTACCTGAAGGAAGAACTGACACACAAAATTATACGTCGACAGATAATTCTATAATTACCACCATTAGCGAAGATTTTGTGAATTATAGCACAACTTCTGTAGATGATTCAGAATCAACAAGTGATCAAACAAGCAGCAAAGATCCTAGAACTGAAAAGTATATCCACGCAGATTTATCCGAAGGAAGAACTGACACACAAGACTATACGTCGACAGATCATTCCATAATTACGAACAGTAGCGAAGATTTTGTGAATTATAGCACAGCTTCTGTAGACTACTCAGAATCAACAAGTGATCCAACAACCAGCAAATATCCGAGAACTGAAAAATCCATCCACGCAGATATATCCGAAGGAAGAGCTGACATACAAGATTATACGTCGACAGAAAATTCCATAAATACCACCACTAGCGAAGATTTTGTGAATTATAGCACAACTTCTGTAGATTATTCAGAATCAACAAGTGATCAAACAACCAGTAAAGATCCTAGAACTGAAAAGTCCATCCACGCAGATTTATCCGAAGGCAGCACTGACACACAAGTCTATACGTCTACAGATAATTCCATAATTACGACAAGTAGCGAAGATTTTGAGAATTATATCACAAATTCTGTAGATTATTCAAAATCAAAAAGTGATCAAACAACCAGCAAAGATCCTAGAAATGAAAAATCCATTCACGCTGACCTACCTGAAGGAAGAACTGACACACAAAATTATACGTCGACAGATAATTCTATAATTACCACCAGTAGCGAAGATTTTGTGAATTATAGCACAACTTCTGTAGATGATTCAGAATCAACAAGTGATCAAACTACTAGTAAAGATCCTAGAACTGAAAAGTCCATCCACGCAGATATATCCGAAGGAGGAACTGACACACAAGTCTATACGTCGACAGATAGTTCCATAATTATGACCAGTAGCGAATATTTTGTGAATTATAACACAGCTTCTGTAGACTATTCAGAATCAACAAGTGATCCAACAACCAGTAAAGATCCTAGAACTGAAAAATCCATTCATGCAGATTTATCCGAAGGAAGAACTGACACACAAGTCTATACGTCTACAGATAATTCCATAATTACGACCAGTAGCGAAGATTTTGAGAATTATATCACAAATTCTGTAGATTATTCAAAATCAAAAAGTGATCAAACAACCAGCAAAGATCTTAGAAATGAAAAATCCATTCACGCTGATCTACCTGAAGGAAGAACTGACACACAAGATTATACGTCGACAGATAATTCTATAATTACAACCAGTAGCGAAGATTTTGTGAATTATAGCACAACTTCTGTAGATTATTCAGAATCAACAAGTGATCAAACAACCAGCAAAGATCCTAGAACTGAAAAGTATATCCACGCAGATTTATCGGAAGGAAGAACTGACACACAAGACTATACGTCGACAGATCATTCCATAATTACGAACAGTAGCGAAGATTTTGTGAATTATAGCACAGCTTCTGTAGACTACTCAGAATCAACAAGTGATCCAACAACCAGCAAATATCCTAGAACTGAAAAATCCATCCACGCAAATATATCCGAAGGAAGAACTGACATACAAGATTATACGTCGACAGATAATTCCATAAATACCACCACTAGCGAAGATTTTGTGAATTATAGCACAACTTCTTTAGATTATTCAGAATCAACAAGTGATCAAACAACCAGTAAAGATCCTAGAACTGAAAAGTCCATCCACGCAGATTTATCGGAAGGAAGAACTGACACACAAGTCTATACGTCTACAGATAATTCCATAATTACGACCTGTAGCGAAGATTTTGTGAATCATAGCACAAATTCTGTAGAAATTTCGCAATCAACAAGTGAACAAACAAGCAGTAAAGATCCTAGAACTGAAATATCCAATCATGCTGATCTACCAGAAGGAAGAACTAACACCCACGACCATACACCGACAGATAATTCCATAATTACGACCAGTAGCGAAGATTTTGTGAATTATAGCACAAAATCTGTAGAAAATTCGCAATCAACAAGTGAACAAACACGCAGTAAAGATCCTAGAACTGAAAAATCTAATCATGCTGATCTACCAGAAGGAAGAACTAACACCCAAGACCATACACCGACAGATAATCCCATAATTAAGACCAGTAGCGAAGATTTTGTGAATTATAGCACAAAATCTGTAGAAAATTCGCAATCAACAAGTGAACAAACAAGCAGTAAAGATCTTAGAACTGAACAATCTAATCATGCTGATCTACCTGAAGGAAGAACTAACACACAAGACCATACATCGACAGATAATTCCATAATTACGACCAGTAGCGAACATTTTGTGAATTATAACACAAATTCTGTAGAAAATTCGCAATCAACAAGTGAACAAACAAGCAGTAAAGATCCTAGAACTGAAATATCCAATCATGCTGATCTACCAGAAAGAAGAACTAACACCCACGACCATACACCGACAGATAATTCCATAATTACGACCAGTAGCGAAGATTTTGTGAATTATAGCACAAAATCTGTAGAAAATTCGCAATCAACAAGTGAACAAACAAGCAGTAAAGATCCTAGAACTGAAATATCCAATCATGCTGAACTACCTGAAGGAAGAACTAACACACAAGACCATACATCGACAGATAATTCCATAATTACGGCCAGTAGCGAACATTTTGTGAATTATAACACAAATTCTGTAGAAAATTCGCAATCAACAAGTGAACAAACAAGCAGTAAAGATCCTAGAACTGAAATATCCAATCATGCTGATCTACCAGAAGGAAGAACCAACACCCACGACCATACACCGACAGATAATTCCATAATTGCGACCAGTAGCGAAGATTTTGTGAATTATAGCACAAAATCTGTAGAAAATTCGCAATCAACAAGTGAACAAACAAGCAGTAAAGATCCTAGAACTGAAAAATCGAATCATGCTGACCTACCAGAAGGAAGAACTAACACCCAAGACCATACACCGACAGATAATCCCATAATTACGACCAGTAGCGAAGATTTTGTGAATTATAGCACAAAATCTGTAGAAAATTCGCAATCAACAAGTGAACAAACAAGCAGTAAAGATCCTAGAACTGAAAAATCTAATCATGCTGATCTACCAGAAGGAAGAACTAACACCCAAGACCATACACCGACAGATAATCCCATAATTACGACCAGTAGCGAAGATTTTGTGAATTATAGCACAAAATCTGTAGAAAATTCGCAATCAACAAGTGAACAAACAAGCAGTAAATATCTTAGAACTGAAAAATCTTATCATGCTGATCTACCTGAAGGAAGAACTAACACCCAAGACCATACACCGACAGATAATTCCATAATTACGACCAGTAGCGAAGATTTTGTGAATTATAGCACAAATTCTGTAGAAAATTCGCAATCAACAAGTGAACAAACAAGCAGTAAAGATCCTAGAACTGAAAAATCTAATCATGCTGATCTACCTGAAGGAAGAACTAACACACAAGACCATACATCGACAGATAATTCCATAATTACGACCACTAGCGAAGATTTTGTGAATGACAGCACAACTTCTGTCGATTATTCAGAATCAACAAGTGATCTAACAACCAGCAAAGATCCTAGAAATGAAAAATCCATTCACGCTGATCTACCTGAAGGAAGAACTAAAACACAAGAATATACATCGACAGGTAATTCCATAATTACAACCAGTAGCGAAGATTTTGAGAATTATAGCACAACTTCTGTAGATTATTCAAAATCACCAAGTGACCAAACAACGAGTAAATATCCTAGAAATGAACAATCCATTCAGGCTGACCTACCTGAAGGAAGAACTAACACACAAGACCATACATCGACAGATAATTCCATAATTACGACCAATAGCGAAGATTTTGTAAATTATAGCACAACTTCCGTAGATTATTCACAATCAACAAGTGACCAAACAACCAGTAAAAATCCTAGAAATGAAAAATCCATTCACGCTAATCTACCAGATAATTCCATAATTACCATCAATAGCGAAGATTTTGTGAATTATAGCATAACTTCTTTAGAATATTTACAATCAAAAAATGACCAAACAACCAGTAAAGATTCCGGAACTGAAAAATCCATACAAGCCGATCTATCTGAAGGAAGAACTGATACACAAGACCATACATCGACACATAACTCCATAATCTCGACTAGTAGCGAAGAATTTGTGAATTATAGCAAGGCTTCTGGAGATTATTCAGAATCAACAAGTGATGAAACAACCAAAAAAGATTCTAGAACTGAAAAATCCATTCAAGCTAATCTATCCGAAGGAAGTATTAACACGCAAGGCCATACATGGAGAGTTAAAAAAACTACTGTAGGCGTCAGCGATATATCAACAGATAATACCATAGCTACGAGCAGAGATATTGATTTAATTAATTATAGCACAACTTCTGTAGATTATTCACATTCAATAAGTGACCAAACAACCAGTAAAGATCCTAGCACCGAAAAATCCATGGAAGCTGATCTGCCAGATGGAAGGACTAACACACAAAACTATACATCGACTGTCACAGAGACTAGTGTGAGCCTCAGCGTCATATCGACAGATAATACGATAACTACGACCAAAGATAATGATTTTATTAATGATGGCCCAACTTTTGCAGATTATTCACAATCAACAAGTGACCAAACAACGAGTGAAGGTCATAGCGCTGAAAAATCCATTCACGCTGATCTTCCCGTAGGAAGAACTAACACACAAAACCATACATCGACAGATAATTCTATAATTACGACCAATAGCGAAGATTTAGTCAAATATAACACATCTGTTGATTATTCACCGCTGGCAAGTGACCAAGCAAGCCATGACTACAGTGATACTGAAAAATCCATTCACACTGATCCACCCGAAGAAAAAACCAACACGAAAGACTATATATCAACAGTTAAAGAAATTAATGTAGCGACAGATAATACGAAAACTACCAGCAACGATGAAGATTTTATTATTTACAACACAACATCTGTTGATTATTCACAATCAACAAGTGGCCAAACAACCAGTGCAGATCCTAACACTGAAAAATCTACCGACGCTGATCTTCCCACAGGAAGAACTAACTCACAAGACTATACATCGACAGTTAATTCCAAAATTACGAACAGTGCTGAAGATTTAGCGAATTATAACACGACATCTGTTGATTATTCACCGTCATCACATGACCAAGTAACCCATGATCATCTTAATACTAAAAAATCCATCAATGTTAGTCTATCCGAAGGAACAATTAACATGCAAGACTATACATCGTCAGTTAATTCCAAAATTACGACCAGTGTTGAAGATTTGGTGAATTATAGCACAACCTCTGCTGATTATTCACCGTCCACAAGGAGTCAAGCAACCCATGATCATCGTAACACGGAGGAATCCATTAACTCAGATCCATTCAAAGGCAGAACTAACACACCCCGCTGTACACCTACAGTTACTAAGAATACAGTAGGCCTCACTAAAATATCCAGTGACAATACGAAAAATGACCGGGATTTAATAAATCATAGCACATCTGCTTTTTATTCAAAGCCAACACAAAATAAGCAAACTCATGTAAGCACTGAGAAGACGATATACTCGACTTATACTGAAGGCAACATGGCAACCAAGACTGAAATACCAACGACAAATATGGAATATTTAACGAGTTTCCCCACTACACCGGTTGAATATCAAACAAACCAAGAGCACATCAATAATGACAAATCAATCACCACTGATATACCTCGAGGCGAAAGCAACACACCACGCCATAAGACCACAGATGCAGATAAAATCGAAGGGAAAACTTTCACCACCACATTCAAACCAAATTTTTCTTCGCCATCAAAAATGACTACATCAAAACACAAAAACCATGATGATTCTTATATTCTACCAACCACGACTGCAAGTCCCAGCAAACACACGAGGGCTACACCAAGTCATTCATCTAAATCCACAACTTCACACGAAACTGATGGACACAAGTTTACTTCGACAACGAAACGTAAATCTGACACAACATTAATTCCATCAGCTTCCAGCGGAGTCACTGAAGAAATAATTGCCAATTCTAGCAATTCGTCTATATTTATCGACGAAAATGCAAATCCTACGTACGCCGTTACCGCGGATTTATACAAGCCAAACCAGCCCACAGCAAATATGATTGCTAGTCAAGTACCATTGGATATAACTGCCTCGACCCAAACTACAACTAAATCAAAGTGCGGTTCATCCACAGTCAGTGCATCCAGCACTTCTAGTGTACAGTCTTCGACACTTAAAATTATAACCACAACGAAGTCCAAAGATTCCACAACCGCTGAACTTAAAGATGAGTCCAAAGGTGACTATCATTACAATGATTACGATGCACTGAGCTTTTCTTATAATAAAAAACCACCCAAAATTGTAACATTATTCACAGTGTTTTTGATTATTATATTTATGTAGAACAATAAATTTATTTATATAATTTTGACCGGTGATTTGCGTATTGTTTTGGGGTGGGGTGTGTTGAATAAAGATGGTACATTCAAAAAATAGAAACCTGATTTATTTTATAGCAACACGGAGAGTTATTCTCGATTCACACTCTTGTAAACTCCTAATTAATCTTTTTCCGTCTGGCATATATCTCTTGATGGAATCGATGGCATCTGAAGAATAGCTGGTGACATCGTCAGTGCCGGATTGGTAACGGCAATGATATTATCGCCACTAGCTGCCACTATTTGAGGTGAGTACTCTCTCGATTCTTCATCGTTCGTGACAAAATCATCAAACTTCCTCTAAGAAAGAAAAATACCGATTAAAATTATTATGCGCATTTGATAGGTTAGTTCAAGTCTACGCTTATGCGACATGCACTGAAATTCCTACTTAGTACTAGACAGAGTTGCCATTAAATCTAAATGATACGCAGCAAGCTCACCAAAAGACTTTCACAAACAACAATTTCGCATATCGCATACCAACTCACTAAATTGATTCCTTCAGACGCGTTAACTTCTGGCTGTGAGTTATAAAACCTGTAAAGACAATAAAACAACATTATATATAATCTGATCCCATAGAGTGTTATGACCTTGGGTCTGTAAATAACAGATTAATTCAAAATTGCGATATTTTCCACGATCTTTTATTTTTGATTTAATATTGCCGATATTTATAACGTTCAAATTTTATGAATGGGTGAAAAATATGAAATTTACTTCACTAGGGTTGCCAACTTAAAAAAATATATAATACAAAAAATAACAAATAACGGAGAAAATAACAAAATGCTACGCTACTAGCGAAAATAGTTAAACATTTGGCAAACAAATCTATCTTTGAAGCAAAACCATCTTCTAAATTTGTATATAAGGTACTTTTTAAATTTGTATTCTCAGAAAAAATGAATTTATTTTAAGTAGATTAAAATCATTAATTTTGGAAAAATTTTATGTTTTTCAATTACATTAAAATTTATGCCCCCGGGTAAAATTTTATCATAAGTTAATTTCGATAGATACAGCGATACAAATAATTTTTAGCAACGAGATTAAACAAATTTGTATTAATAATTTTATGTAAAAAATATAATAAAAAAAATAACAAATAACAAAAAAATAAAAAATCTGCTAAGCTACTACAAAACTTCTGGATTCCTCCTGCGTCGGTTTTTGCTGAGTCGAACTTGCTGACGTTTCGCCAATCATCGTGTTGGCCTCTTCAGAACCTTACGACTAAGATAAATAAACTCATCAGCTGTTGCCGAACACCGGACATAAGATTTTATTCGATAAAACTAAAAATCTTGCATGTAATCAGTTTTTCTACCAATGAAAAATCCGGAAGTCTATAGAAATCTATAGCCAACCTAACCATCTTAACCGAGACTCAGATCTCTACCTGTCACTAATTAGTCACCTGAGACGGTGTTTATGCCCCTCATTTAGCTCCACCCCCCCTCAAACAATAAATAAGCAGGTGCAGAGTAAAATAGTAGAAAGTTTCAGATAAGCTCTGAAGAAGCCAACAGGATGATTGGCGAAACGTTAGCAAATTCGAGACAACAAAAACCGATGCAGGAGGAATCTAGAAGTTTTATAACAAGTATTACAGTAGCCTGTGGAAGTTTTTTTCAAAAATTGCTAAGCTATTAACTAAAATATTTAAACATTTGACTAAGAAATCTATCTTTGGAGCAAAAACATGACCTCAATTTGTATATAAGGTACTTTTTAAATTTGAATGCTCATATAAAATGAAATTATTTTCAGTAGATTGTTAAAATCCGAGAGAAAGTTTTGAAAAATAATTTGCCACTTATCACTAGCAACTGATTTTGGAAAATTTTTATGTGTTTCAATTACATTAAAATTTGTCCCCGGGTAAAATTTTAGGCAGTTAAATTTTATCATAAATTTGTTTCAATAGATAAAGCAAAACAAATAATTTTTTACCACGAGATTAAACCTCGGATTAAACCAATTTTTATTAATTATTTTTCGTAAAAAATACAAATAAAGCATTAGAATAAAAAAATCTATAAAAATTATTCATGATGTGACAAATTTCGCGAGCTGTTGTATTTTAATTTCAATTTTTCAAAAAGATCACAAATACAAAGTATAAACAGAAATTTGTTGGTTGTTATTTAAATGCATTTATTTATATTTTCTTATATTAAAGGAAATTTTCCTTTATGTAATACCTTTCAAAAGGACAAAAGACGTCACTTTAAAATAACAGATTGTCCTTTAAAATAAAGGACAGTTGGCAACCCTACGCTTGACCCTAAATACGTAGTTTTATACGGTTTTAAAGTTCTAGAAGTTTGGTTAAAACAATATAAATATAATTCCATAACCTCATTTTGTAATGACTAATGACTAACTTTAATGGGATAGTTCCATGATATTTTATTCCTAGGTGTCAGAGAAGAAACGAAAAGAATAAAGCTAAATTTTTTTTAGCCCACGTTACAAAGAGTTATAGATTTAAAATTTAAAAATTTAAATAATCTCTTGGTTCATTCTTAGTCTCAACTAGCAGTCATAGCTCTGGTGGATGAAGGCCACTGAATTTTTAGTTGCATGGAAATATAAGAAATAAAACCTTCTCTCTCAAGTCAAATCTTTTTTTTAGCTTTACATTACCTACTTACACTTTAAGCTGTCGGTCGCAGTTTCCTATACTCACGTTGCGTTGTATGACGTAGTCTCTGGCCATGCCTCGTTTCGCTTAATAGAGATTTCGTACGCATTTTTAGAACCCTAAACGGTGTGGACAAAATGTTGCTTTCTGATAGTTCATTCGATAAAAAACTTATATAAAACAACAAATATTACCTCACTTTGGATAACAGAAAATTTTCACTTAAACACTTTTGTCACTTATAGCATTTTCTATCTCAAGACACCACACAAAAAATTAATTGAATTGAATACCCTTTTCTAGCATTAATTATTGAAAGAGTTAAACCATGTATTAGCCATTGGCCCTATCAAACGTTAAGTGCAATTTCAACTATTAATAAGTTCTTGTCCACACTATCATACCTCACTTTATATACACTCCACAAACACTTTCTGCAACCACAATGTATACATGGTGTTAGTATGTCACGTAGTTACTTAAAGGAGTATTGGTGCTCATCAAAATAGGAAAAAAATAGGTAAAAAAAGCTAAATTTTTTATATATCATTGAGTAAGTAAATGTTTTAGCGCTTTTGCTTTATAAACTTGCAATCATTTGTCATTTATTAATAGGTTTCAGTGTGGTTATATGTGTTTAAGACGAACACGAATGATCCAAAAAAGATAAGTATCAGTAAATCACAAAATTTTAATTTTTTGCTTTAGCTATTCTATAAGATAAAACATGTTTTCTACAAAGGACAAATTCATCGATATTTGTACCGCCATTCTAACGTTTCGCCAATCATCCGGTTGGCTTCTTCAGAGCTTGACTGAAACTGGCTCTCATTTTACTCTGTACCTGCTTATATATTGTTTGAGAGGTGCGCTAATGAGGGGTATAAACACCGTCTCGGATGACTGATTCCCAAATTGGTGCCATCAGCTGTTGCCGAACACACTCATGAAACCGGGCATGAAATTTTATTCGATAAAACTAAATTTCTTGCATGTAATCAGTTCTTCTACCAACGAAAAATCCGAGAGTCTGTAGAAACCTATAAACAACCTAACAATCTTAACCTCGACTCAGGTCTCTACCAGTCACCAATTTGGGAATCAGTCATCCGAGACGGTCTTTATACCCCTCATTAGCGCCCCCCTCAAACAATATATATATAAGCAGGTACAGAGTAAAATACTAGCCAGTTTCAGTCGAGCTCTGAAAAAGCCAACCGGACGATTGGCAAAACGTCAGCAATTTCGACTAAGCAAAAACCGACGCAGGAGGAATCCAGAAGATTTGCAAAAAGTGGTAGGCTATGGAAGTTTCTTTGAACAAAAAATCCATGTTTTAATTGGTAAACAATCACTAAAGACTAAGCTAACCAAAAACGCTGCCAGTAGAACACAATGTAATCTATTTTTTCGTGTTTAGATTAGAAATTTGTGACAGATATTATTATCATAAAAGACCCCGAAATAGGATGCAAAAAATACCCAGATTAAATATTGTACTAATTCTTGGGCCTAGGGTGATTAATTCAAAAACTAATTAATAAATTAAATTAAGATAGCATTAATTAATTACTGGAGTACTAATACAAACGTTGTAATGGAATACTTGTTATTCGATGTGTATCTAAAATTTGAAGGTAACAACTGCATATTGAAACTGTGCAAAGCAGTAGAATATTTAAAAGCTGATACTCAGAATAAGTGGATTTGTTAAAAGAAAAAATACTAGGTCAGTAATAAGTCTAGCCTTAATGCCTAATAACGAAATACAATGTTTTTGTAATGAGAATAAATAATGTACTTCATATTTTGACTTATTAATGAAATTAACTTCATGGCAAATCTAATGTCTCTCATTTCTGGCGAATTCTACCTAGCCACAATCACGAGTATTTTTTCAATCGTCTTTTAGTAATTTATATGATGCAATTTTTTTCAAACCCTTTTTAACAGCAGTCTATTTTCTATTATCAGTAGCCGTGTAGTACACGTCAAGTTTTGTTTTTATTTAGCGACAATGTTCGCAAATATATGTATGTCCAAAACGATGTAATATTAAAAATTAATTAAAATTTACCAGCAATATAATGCTAGAGATATTTTGAATATTTACCCACTAAATTGTACTTTTTAGAATTCTTTTTGTATTAATGCATTTATTGATATTTCTTAAACAAAGAACTTTTTTTTTCTGAGATAAATAGAATATATTTATTAAAAACTGTGAATATAAATAGCTATATTCCTATGCAAATATCTTCAAAATAGTTCGAGTAATCGATAAACCACAAGACACCATTTTCGTAGAGCATTAAATTTCCTATAAGAATTAAAGTAAAAACATTTCTCGTTAATTATTTTCCAGTCAATAACAAAATTCAGAACAAAGAGTTATCTTTCTTTAAGTTCGATTTTTTGAAAAAGTATAAGAGACTATTTTTGTAGAGCATTTAATTTCCTATAAACATTATAATAAAAAACCCAGAGGTACCAACTAGTTAATGTATGGTGTGGTGTCATAGATGGACATGGATCATATTTGCAACTTTTGGAGCACCAAATAGAACAATATTTAGAAGACTTAGCTTTAAATATATCAGCGCTGATTATTAAAAATCACAAATTTTCTTAACGTGGAATAATCCAAGGGTTGGACAGGAAACGGCGGAACCATGGACTGGCCAGTCAACAGCCCCGAGCTAACTTTAATTGATTTTTTCTTTTGGGGACACATAAAAAATCACATACACAGAACTCCTTGTAATAATGTCGTGGAACTTCGGTAAAGGAAACGTTACTAAATGCAACACATCATACAATTAGAGTATATGAGACATGTGTTCAGGAAAATGGTGGTCACATACATTTATAATAGTTAAAGAATTTTTTGCTTTTTTCTGTCTTGTCATTTTTAGTGTTTTTGTTCTCGTTTAATTTGTAAATAATTATTGTTGTTGCAGTCAGTGACGGCACTCTTTGAGATTATATCAAATTTTCCTATTTTCGTCGATTTGTAAGAAACACATATATAATATACAGGAAGTTTCATTAAAAAATATGTTATGTAGACTTATATGTCAGAAAATTGATAGCGTCGTCACTTGGAAAAAATCTTGGTAAAAACAAAAAATTACAGCCCATTGAAATGTTATCAAAATAAATTGAATCCACGGTATAATAACCGTGTTATTCTGAACAACGAAGATACGGACTTATTCAACTTGAGACTAAATTTGTTTAAAAGAAATGCATACAAAATTTTGTAACATTCTCTTAATTACCATCAGCTGAGTTAAGTGTCTTTTGTATTCCCGAACATAAGCGGCATCGTCTGTCTGTTGGTTGGCATTGAGAATAAATAAAGTAAAATTAAGTAAATTCCCTTTTAACGAGCACAGCACTCTTGAAAATGCCGACGTAACATTCACACCCTGCATACGGATTCAAGTAAGCCACGACTTTAATTTTAAAAATCGATTCAATTTATTTAAACTGCAGTCGTTTTGGATTTAATTTCCCTTGAACGCTGCCTCCCATTCCCCTGCCCCCCCACCCCCTTCACGCCGGGGCAACTAAACGTGTTTAAGCGAAAGCGAAGGAATAGTAGAGTAACCAAAAGCAGAAGCATCTATATAGCGGGCTAAAAAGGTCAGTCTTCTAAGTTAATAACGGTAAGCGGTCGTAAGTTTTGCCTTTGTCGCATGGTATGGCTGACCTGACGTTGGTCTTCACCATCGGAAGTCGGTTCGATTTTAATCTTTTTAGCGGAATTCGGATTATCATCGTCCACGGAAGTCCTCGTACTAGACGACAAATAACTGTCGTACGATTCTTTCTCTTGGCTTATCGGCAAACTCATCTGCCGACACAAATAAACCGAAGACAACCTGAAAAATTATACAGTATTAATTACGATCATTTTATCCCACACCCCGACGTACTGTGTTTTGGAAAAATAACATCCCGAATCTTTAACTACTTGCCGCGCGAGTGGGAACAATTCGTCCCTCCTGGTTAAAAGGGCTGGCACGAAACGGCAAATTTGAGCTGCTGCTTCGTTTACAGATAACTCGTGCAGAGTTAATGGTTTCTCAGGTTTTCGTTTGCAGTCGAAACGCCCGTAAATAGCGGCGTATCTTCGAATCTCGTCCATCCTCCTGGGATCGTTTTCCAACATAGACATTACGAGCTCCAGTTCTTTGCACACTCTCTTTTTGGTATTTTGCGGTTTCGGTTCCAAATTTGGTAATTGTTTGCTCAAACGTTCGGCGGCTGCAGCTAGTTTGTTTATTTGGCTTTCGGCTAAAGACGTCGAAGTGGATAGACCGCTGCTAGGACTCGAACTGCTCGAAGGACAGACTAAATCTAAGGGTGAGTAAGGCCTGAAACAACTATATGCTACATACGCAGTAGAAAATATCAATCTGGCAAGTTGACGTATCAAATAAAATAATCGAAGGTTTATAATTTCATACATTTTAAATGCATAATTTTAACAAGGTTCGATTACTTTGATATGGGCATTTATAGTCTGTCTCTATCTATACTAAAGAACCGAACATTAGAGACGGACTCTTAAATAATATATATTTTTTTAATTTATTTAGGTGGATATAATCTTAGTCAACTACACTAAAAAAAGACAATTACATTAAATTTATACAATAAATTCATAGCTACAAATATTACATAATTACATTTTTATTCTAAATGTCTAAATCCAATTCTGTTTCCCTATCAGCTTGCCCAGCTTGTTCATCCAAATTATCGCATATATACTGCTTTTTAATTGATTTTGGATTTAGAACTTCCAAAAGTTGGGCCCGTTTGTAACTGAATTCAAAATAAACATCATTTTCTAACAAATATTCCTTTTGTCTAAGATATTCTATAGTAATATATGAAATATAAGTAAAAAAGTAAAATCCATTCGTTTATTTTGAATACCCTGTAGCATCTAATTCAAATCCCGTTGTATATGTCTATTACGTCATCTTCAAATAACGGTAGTATCAATTGCAATTGCAATTATGGAAACTAGTATTTTTTCATAAAAATTAAAATATTAAACAATAAATAAAAAAATATTTAAAAAAAAACTATTAAGTTTAAATATGGAACATTATTTAAAAAAAGTTAAAGAATTTTAAAAGGAATTCAAAACAAAATTTAAAAATAGGGTTTTCCCGGTTTTTTTCAACCACCCTGTATACTATAAAATAATTTTAAATTGTGCATCCTAACAACCTATACAACTTTCGTATTTACCATTTTCTCGTAACTTATGAACCCAATAAGATAATGAACACATCAATGAAAATTTGTCACTCAAAAAAAGTGAAGTTTCAAAAATTCGTACTTCGGGTTAATATACCCCATTGAGTGTGGTGCTATATGTAACACCTTTGAGTGTTTAGTTTAGCACTCTATTTTTTACTTAGTATAGAAGGATACTACTAATTCTACTACCAGAGGTATCGTTTCTCCAAAAACACCCTACTTATATATCATATTTCTCATCATTCTTATAAATATCGCGTTTATCTTCTAATGAAATAAAATAAGACTTAATTCATAATAACAATTTATTTCTTAGATATATACTATAAAAGAGTATTTAACAAATAATTCCTTCTATAAAGTTCTTTAATTAGGAGCAAATTGTTGTTCATTAAGTTAAATAAAAAAATCGTAAAATAAATTGATATTTAATACCTCTCTTTAGACTAAGTGGCCCATATGACCGAAACCCAGAATTTTTCCTTTATATAAAAATTGTTTTTTATTGTTTATACAGGGTGATTAAAGAATATTTCAGATCAAACTAATTACAGAGTTTTAATTAAACATTTTAACATAATTTTTGCCCACTATCCCACGCATTATTTATTTTATTTATGTTATGATTCACAATCCCCAAACTCTACGCCACTTTAGTGCATTTTCTTTATTCTACAATACTTTATATGTAAATAACATAACCTTTGTTAATGAAGATAAAATCATTATTATTAATAATGAGTTTTTGCCACAATCTCTTCCAATCTTTTCAAAACCGTTTTGTTACAACCTAAACCAAAGAGCAATATTAAAAATATAAAAAAAAGCGCATTTTAATTGATTTGTCCTGAATAATTTTTATTCTGGGTTCAACAGTTAAAAGAATTCCTATTATTCATGAATCACCCTGTATATTTAATAATTTAAGAATGACTTAAGGTATTTTTTGAAACTTAAAATCTGCAAAATTTGGTGCCCCTAGAGTTAACTTACCTTTTATTATTCACGTTTAACCCTGGACTGGCTACTGAAGGTAAGGCACAGATATTTTCGCCACTATCGGCTGAGTATAGTACGTGGTTACTAGTTACTCTCGGGCTAGACAATTCTATTTCGAAATCCTCTCCCGGGACTAAGGGTAACTTAAACTTCAATGGATTCGTCACCCACTCCTGTAATGATTTCTGCAATCGTCTAACGTGCAGTGGTTTAGAAGCCATTCCCACTAGGGACATGATTTCTAAAAATTCTTCTTCACCAGCGTCACAAAGTTGCTGGACATCGTCTCCTCCCATTTCCAACAGCGTATCGTAATAAAGTAGCAACGACGCGTTCTGCATTACCCTGAACAGTTGCAATTCCGCCTGGTTGCTAGGAAACGAAGTCGGGAATACTAAAAGCAAATTCGAAAATCTTCAGTTTCGCCAAATGAAATATCCGTTAAAGTCCATTTCCTAATGGTGGAAGTAATAAAACGAACAAGATTTAATAGTGGGCCATAGGCGTAGGTAGAAAAATAAACAATAAAAACATTGGCCAATAGCTAAGGTAGGTATAGTCCAGCACGCAATAAATGATCATCATTGCCTATCGATGACGGAATGGAGATGAGTAAGGAGCCAAAAACAAAGTATCGTTTGAATATCATTTTACGAGTATATGAAGGTAAAATTGCACATTCTGTTTCTGCGTATTTAAATTAAAAAAAAACTGTTTCAAAAGACATCTATATAGTCTAATAAGTTATACAAGTGCGAACTGTGGAGTTAACTAGCATTGACAGGTCAACTTTATGTCGATTTCTTGGTAACGATTCGGTAGAAAGGAAGAAACGATATGAAGCAATGAAGCAATTGAAGCAATGCAACAGAAATTAAAATAAACTGGTCGTAGTTGCATTAAAGGGAATGGAGACATAAACATTTAACTCAAATTCACCAATTTTGAGCAGAAAAACGAAATATACGAGGTGTATTCAAAAAGTACGGTAACTTTTAAGTGTCATCAAAATTCTAACTTATGCCAACGTTTTTTCCAATCATCGACGCACTTCTTCAGTTCTTCAAGCTATTTTTTCTTTATCTCCACAATCTTGAATTTTGGGAACTGGAAAAAGTCAAAGGGGGCCATATCCGATGAATATGGTAGCTGAGGTTTTGTATTTGGCCAAAAAGTTAGACGCAAGCAAAGATGAGTGAGCGGGTGTTCCGGACGTTTTCTTCGTATCGCTTCTTCGTATTGAGCAGATAGAATCGTTAATATTATTACAGTTATGACCATTTATCGTGTTGGACCATAATGACCATAGTATTGGAAAGTGCTTATTTAGCACAATTACGCAAACATCTTTTAGCTATTGATGCTAGCTGACCTAGATTTTAACAATATTTCCATTTACACACATTTTTAAGGAACAGAAATGTGTTTTTTATGGAACTTATTGGGAAAATGATATGAAAAGTGGACCCTAAGATAGCCAGTATAGCCAGATGTATTACTAAGAGTTCAGTAAAGAGCCCAAGTAATTATTTCATGCAGGGTGTTTTCCACAACCTTGCTAACTTGAGCAAATAAAAAAACTAATTTTTCTCTGACTTTTTCAAACTCTAACCTTTTTAGTTAACCAAAACTAACATTTAATTTAGAAATCTTAAATTTAATTTAATATATTTTAGGTGTTGAAAGAAATCTAATTTATTTTTACATCCCTTACGCACGCTTTTATTGTAATAAAAATAGGCAAACTACCTAACTTGCTACCTGTATTTGATCAAAAAGGGGCATATTTCATTACCAAATTAGTGAATTCGCATAAATTATTTTGCAACTACAGCGACATTTTATTAATCGACACCATTTAGAAATGGAACATAAGCTAATAATTTTTATACAAAGGTATTACAAATTTTCTTAAAACAGGCAGATATTGATTGAATAATCTAAAATATTCCACCTTTGACACTCTTGGCACGATCTGTAAAATATGAAACAAATTTTAAAAGAGACCGTAACATACGTCCGCGTCCCTAAAAAAGAAAATTTTTTTGAAATTATTTTGGGCAGAATTGGTAGAATTAGGTTGAAAAATGTTATTTTTATAATGCATCTCTTTTTTTGATTCGTTTTAAAAGAATAAATACAAACAAAGTAAACTAAATTTTAGTCAATTCTGAGTCAATTGGTTTATGAACATTTAAATTTGCCTCAATTATGACTAATTTACAATTAAAATATGATTGCAGCTAAAAAGTTAAATGTGTACCCGAAATTGCAAATAATTTATTTAATTATATTCAAAGAATACGTTTTTCTTATTGTTTACAACTCGCAGTCGATAGTTTTTCAATATTAAATTAATTTTATTAGCGAAAACTAGTTAATCGTCTTATTTTTTTAAATAGTTTTTCAATATCTAATTTTCAACTTCAAAAATAAAGCATGAAGCACGTGACTTGCATATTAGTAGCAACTTTGGCGAAATATATAAATACAGGGCGTCTCAAATTATAAGTATATAATTCCCAAATTTTATGATGAATTTAACAGTGATTTTTTCCGAAGAATTTGTTTATCAAAGGGAGTTTATGAAACCATTTTCATAGGGGTATGACAAAGTATAACATTGACATAAGGTGGCCTAAATTTCCATCTAAATACACAAAATAAATAATGAATTTACTTAAAAGAAAAGTTCAATTCGCCGCCTTTGCTAATTGGTAAAAATTTATATTAATTAACTACCAAATTAATAATAAATATAATAATAATAATAGTAACGGCTTTTTAGGCTAAGAAGTTTGATTTAGATTAGTTATTATTATTAGATTAATAAATTATTTCCACGAAAAAAAAATTCAATGGTATTGCAAATAAGAAAAAAAGATTTGTTATATCTACCATTAATAAATATTACTTTTCGTTCTCTCAGCAAAATATACATAAACTTACTTTTAAACTACCAACATTATATTTAAAAAGTCAACAATAATTAATATTACTGAATATTGCCCATCAGCCCATAATAAATTTGTAAATTTATGAAATTCAAGTGTGGTTATAAAACAAAATATCAAAAATTATATTGCTGATGTTCAAGTGTAAACCATCTTAATATTCCAGCTATTAAGAGTATTTTGGTTACTTTATTTATAAAAAAAAATGATTTTTTCATCTGTAGAAGTGTTTGATATGTTCGTGTTTATTTTCAAAATATTAAAAATACAAGCCGGTTTATTTATTTATTTAATACAGCAGCCCAGGAGGTTTAACATTTTTTTTAAATACGACGCGATGCAGTTAATTTTTTTGAGCAATTAAATTTTATTTATAGTGTGCTCTTTTCTACGACTTCAAATTTAACAAAATTACCTACAGCTATTATAAAGTTTTGACATTTATTTCCAGGAATATTACTTTACAAAGTACAAAAATAGCAAAAATTATAAGGGTGATGTTTAAGTGTCAATCATATTAAGATTCCAGCTATTAAGTGTATTTTGCTGACCTAATTTTTTAAAAATGCATTTTTCACCCTTATAAGTGCTTGATATGTTCGCGTTCATTTTCAAAACATTGAAAATACAAGCCGGTTTATTATTTATTTATTTAATATGATGCGATGCAGTTAATTTTTTATAATATTACTTTCCCTTAAGAGGTACCAGTAATATACAATTATTTGCCAAGAAAAACAGGACTTAAAATTTACGAATGCTATTGCGCCCCCTGGCGGCCATTCTAAAAATTTAAAAATAATTTCCAGCATTCTCTTGGTCGCTAATACAACATAACTCGAGAATAACAAAAATAAAAAACACAATCAAACAATCCAAGAAGGGAAAAAAAAAGGAAAAAACAAATAGCAACTACAAATTAAAAATTCCGCTTTGTAACGACGGAGAAACTTTACATTTGGGAAATGGCAGTAAAACGAATTCGTGTTGGCGGGTTTTAATTTAAATTTCAAAATAATCAAACAGCAGAAGGTATATCGCTCGATAGAGCTTTTTTTAATACAATTTCGTGCTTTCAATACGACGACGGGGGGATTAAAAGCGAAATTCGTAAGCCCCACTAATTTCACACACGTAAATTTCTACCTGTACAGTTTTTGTGGGCCATGCGGTCCTTCTTGCATAATTAAAAATTGTATGCTTTTTTTCTTATTACTCGATAAAAAAAAATGCTGAGAATACATCTCGTTAGTGTGAGAAAGGGTTAGAGACATTGCGGGACTCGACCGGAGGAAAAAAAACAAAGGAGATCTACATATATATACCTGGCGTTTTTTCGTGGGTGCTTTATTCAAGATATTCAATCTGTTGACATATCGTGTCCTTGCATATTAAAGAGGCTCCGTAGAATGACTTACAAGTTCACACGCAAAAACTGCGTTCCGGCAGATACGTCAGCTTTTTTCGGGCTATTTTTTCGAAACCCTCTGGAGGGACTTTAGCGGGGTGCGGAGCTGTAAGCTCCCCACGATAGGGTCGACAATTCTGCGGGTTGTTATCATGTTTTAATAAAAAAAGTTACAAAATATAACCTGTGAATTTCATCTCGGTAACGGTAGACCCTCGGGGGCCGCCATTTCTACAGAAATGAGCAGCGTCGAAAAAAAAAATTTTTTTTCTGTCCGTTCTCCGTTCCCTGTTCCAGGACATTTCGATCGAATGCTTCGCGATCAAACATCGTCGGCCATCTTATTTTTTTCAATTCTCGATTGTTTTTTGAACATCGCTATGAAACACGATGAGTATCCGAAATTTGAAGCAAGAAGCAAGAAAAAGTGATTGCTCAAAAACCGTTTATGCAATCGAAAAATTTCTTGAGCGAACAGATTCGTAAGATCGGGTGCGATAAATTCCGATTCTTTACAATTTTAAAAAATGTACAGGGTGTGGCCGGTATTCGCAAAAAACTGTAAATAAACCATAAACCATAACAGTTATCAGTTTCTTTCACATGGTCATATAGCCCGTATAAACAGCTAAAACTTTTGTATTTAAGATTTTCACCTATTGTACAGGGTGTCACATTTATTCCGTGCTAATATTAAGAAATGTAGCATGTGTCTCAAATTTCAAGCTATCGACTTCAAATTTAGCAGAGGGGTAGCAGTTCAGACTTGCATTTAAACTGTTGAAACTCCGTGCCATCAAATATCGCGAAGCATTTTTTTTTATTGTTGAAAAATCTTTTTCCGTTTTGTATCGCTGAAAAAAACATCTTCTCGAAAAGTATAAACCCGATCGGCAAAATTCTGAAACGAAAAGACGAGGAAGATCCGGTACTATAACCTTTATTTTAAGCAATTTTTCGATTATATAGAGCGTTTTTCAATTATAAACAAAAATCTAAAAGACCCTGAAGATTTTTCTTTTCCAGAGGAAA